TATATTTTATTATACTGGTGTCTGAATATATTTTTTTTCTTAACTTGATCTTGTCAACAAAAAACAAAAGCATTTGTTTCTTGGTCATTCTTTCTTGAAATTTCACTCACTTTTTCACTAAATAACGAGTTAGAAATGACGTAATGCGATAACAGGAGTTTCAATACTGATATATTCATTTGTTCATGGCAAAGGAAAAATGTGCAGAACAGCACGTGCTTTTCAACTTGTTGTGACGCACGATGCCGTTAAAATACTCGTGAAATTAAACCGACAATATATTAGTGATATGCAAGAATAAAATTAGGAAGTTACGTCAAGGTGGAATTAGAGGCAAAGCTACGTGCTGGAGAACGTGACATAGCTGTCAGGAACGAAAATTAGCTGATAGATAGATAGACATATAGATAGATAGATAGACACTTTTTAATATTTTTTATTAAAACAACCAAGTCAGTTTTTACAATTTTGACACCAAACAACCAGTTTTTACAAGGAAATAAAAACGTGTTCATCCCTTACATTATTTACATGACCAATTCATCACTCTTATCCGTAACATCTATAAATAATTATTACATACTACTACATATTTAAAATAGATGATGTTTTAAAGTAATGATTACCTTTAAATATATTCAACAACCTCAGAAGTAATATTTGTAAAATGTTGAAATAATTTTCAATACCTTTATTAAATATTCAAGCTGTTGTTTTGCAAGGTTTCAATCACATCATCAATTATTATTTACTCAATAGAATATATTATACAAAAATTATATATTAAATAAATAAGTATATATATACATATATATATATGAGTTGCACTCATTCATTCTATATATTATACAAATTCCTTTCTAGTTTTGACTACTGCTACTTTTAGAAGTAAATTTGTTAAAATCATGTCACTGACAGTTTTAATTCCCTCTCTGACTTTACATTATTTATCATAAGAAAAACTAGATTTATATAATTTAAAGTAGATAAATTTATATAATTTAAAGTAGACTAATATTGAGTCCCTCAATATTAGTCTGAGTTCTAACCACAGTTCTTTTCTCACTTAAGTGTTAATCTCTATAACAGACAAAAGAAATAAAATGTTTCTTAGATTGGTTTATTGTGAATTATATAAGTTATATTTTACCTACATAGATTTTGTAATCCTATGTTTCCTTGTAGAGGAACCACTCGATCAAGTGAAACAAACCCCTTCTAAACAATTCATAGATGGATTAAGTTTCCCTAACCACCTGGCCATGCCGAAAACTTTGAAGTTCAGCATTACCACTCACTTCTCCTGGCATGGCCAGGTGGCTAGGGCGCTCGACTCGCAATCTGAGGGTCGCAGGTTCGAATCCCTGTTCCACCAAACATGCTCGCCCTTTCAGCCGTGAGGGCGTTATAATGTGACGATCAATCCCACTATTCATTAGTAAAAGAGTAGCCCAAGAGTTGGCGGTGGGTGGTGATGACTAGCTGCTTTCTCTCTAGTCTTACACTGCCAAATTAGGGACGGCTAGCGCATATAGCCCTCGTGTAGCTTCGAGCGAAATTCAAAACAAACAAACACTCATTTAGGCAACTGATCCTAAATGCAGCATATTGATTGGTGCAAGTTCCATGTTTTTTGTTGTTTTTTTTACTAGGTAACATAAATATGTTATTTGTTCAAAAACAAACTTAATTTAAAATTAAGCCACTCTCTTGTTATCGAACGCCGATAATATCTTGAGAGTATGATTAAAATAATTCAAATTTACAAGAACTCTCTTTCTTACCACTAAGAAAACTTCGATCTAAGATCTAAAGTATGGCTTACGTGATTATCTAATCTCTTCGCTGAAACGTTTTATACGAAAAGTTTGGCAAGTTTTCCTGGCTTGTGTTCCAGAACAATTCACGCCTAACGGGTAATCTCAAACAATCCGAGATTCCAATCGTAATTCGAGCGATAACACCCAACAATCAAACTCGCAACATCGCGTAATTACAAAAATAATAATCAAATACTTGTATATCAGAGCAAGAAAAAATTACAATGAACGGTTCATGCATGCACAAGAAGAAGAAAATACTTGGTTAGGTGCTAAATGACGCTATTAAATTCAATAAGCTATATCTTTGTAGATAAACTCCTATATATATACATATATGTATAAAAGAAGTATATTAAAATTTATTCCCAACAAAATACTCGGGACTATATGCTAATATTAAACAAAGTTGCACGAAAGAGTTGTAGACCATTTTGAATGAGTTACATTCTGGTTTTGAGTTACGTAATATCAATCAAGTAGCTCCATGTGATTAGACTGTGATTATTATCTTGAGCTAATTAACCTATTTAACCTGTTTTGAGGCTCTTGTGTTTGAATAATGTCTGAATCTATGACTGTTCAACTCATTTTAAGAAGCTATAAGTCAGTTCCGGTGTCATTCATATGTTGTTTTATATATCTTGTTCTCTCACCGATAGATGTAACTGTGCGCTGTTACCCACGGCTCAGTTTTCCAAGTACGAGATGAAAGTGCCAAAAGCCAAGAGTATTGTTTATGTGTCAGTGAAAATGTTCAAACCAGTTTCACAATTTAGAAACAGGCAAGAATTAAACGAAAAAGAAATCCCTTTATTTTAAAGCCTTCTATAAGTAATTGAAGTCAACGTATGTTACAAAATAGTTTAAATATAATATATGTACTAAATTTTAATCAAGGTTTGATATACGCATACTTTCTACAAGTAACAAACACATTGATAAACTTACCGTTATAAGAAAGAGTATCTGTAGATGGCGAACTGCGTCTTTATGCAATCAAAGTTACTAAATCATATCCATCTTGCACGTGACAGGAAAACGAAGCACTTGACCATCCTGCGGATAAAGACATGTTCGTTGAGGTCGTTGATATTCACCCAGAGTTACGTGTTTAATCACATGTTCTGATAAAGTAATCATATGTTAAGCGGTCTGTCGTGAATTATGAAATCTCAACATCGGAACATACAAAAAAGTGCCTTTGGGAAAAAGTATCACTTCTTGTGGTTTGTTGACAAAAGTCCCGTCACAGGCTTTATAGTCTCTTTACATCACAGTCCTCTTCAACCAGCTGATGCTGAAAATTTTCAATAAAATATATTAAAAATAAAAACATAATAAAACTTTTCAAAAGTACAATTTGACTATGTTATGCATAAATGATTATTTAACAAAAATTGTCAGCATTAAATTGATAATTACAAAATCAACATAGTGTACGTAGTAAAACAGACGATCCAACATAGTGTACGTAGTAAAACAGACGATCCAATATAGTGTACGTAGTAAAACAGACGATCCAACATAGTGTACGTAGTAAAACAGACGATCCAATATAGTGTACGTAGTAAAACAGACGATCCAATATAGTGTACGTAGTAAAACAGACGATCCAACATAGTGTACGTAGTAAAACAGACGATCCAATATAGTGTACGTAGTAAAACAGACGATCCAAAAGTAAGTTGTAGGATATAAATGAAGTCAAGTTTGTAACTCAATAGTATTCTAACAATTAATCACGTTACATCAATTCTTACTTTTATAAAAGCTTAAACAGTAAAAGAAGTTGAAAAGTTTATAGAGTATATTGCCCAACTGAATAGCAGCGACATCTGTAGAGCGAAACATACATCAACTATATAGCTTTACGGGGTTTGATTTATCTCTTTTTTGTTCCTATGTAACTTCGTATCAAAATTTTACTAAAGATAAAAGATAGGTAAATAAATTTATTAGATGGTTTCATTATTTTAAATCATCTACGCAGCTTCAGTTATTGAGAAAATAATACTCAACAAGATTATATGCTAAAAACAGCCTATCCAAATCAACAAAGTGGATAATTTCGCAATACCAATACAAAAATAGTCAGGATAATTAGATAAGTTGCTCATAATAAAACCGATTGTTATTATGTAAACCGAGACATTCACCGCGGTGAAAAGTAAAATGTTCTTTTTCTATGAATCTGCTCAGTGTAAAAATATTCAAAACACGCAAGAATTTTCAATTATCTCCGTTTCAATATTAGTTTCTTGAATCGACGTTTATGAACTAAATACTGTATGGTCTCAGTTTTCGTTGTTATTTCATTTAGACAAATAATTTAACCAATACGTAGATGAACAAAAAGCTCACACATTCATATATACATGCATTTCAGGAGCAAAAATCAGAACAGCAAGGTCGCGATACTGTTTAAGTGATATATTTGTATGATAACGCACTAAACAAGAAAATTTCGCAGTCAAAACTACAAACCATAAGGTAGAAGACCAAAGCTTTATTTTATGTTCTTACACGTTCTCGAAGTAGTGAAATGTTTTGATGATTTAGAGATAGCTTAAAACACTCAGATCGCAGTATCAATAACGTTAGATCTCCAGTTATTTATTTTCAGTCATGTGTATGCATTTTTTTTTTGCTTACAGATTTATAACTTTTTAGAACTAGTAGATATCTTACGAAAGCGTGCGCTTGTTAATTCAAAATTGTTGTTTTTAGCGCAAAGTTACATAATGGGCTATATGTGCTCTGTTTACCGCGCGGAATCAAACCCTGTAAACTTACCGCTGACCCATCCCATTGGGGGACTAATTTAAAATAAGATAAATGTTTGTGACAATGGAACTTATATGCAATTATAAAACTATAATGTATAGTGACAGCAAGGTTCTCAGCATAACATCATTACCAAATAAAATAAAAAACAGAGCGGATCGCGGGATCGAAACCAGGCCTTGAACATACTCGTTCTTTCAGCAGTTGGGTTGTTATAATGTCAAAAAATAGAGCGATGAAAGAACGGTCTAATTGTTAGGGCGCTCGTCTCATAATCTGCGGGGCGCGGGATCGAAACCAGGCCTCGAACATACTCGCGCTTTCAGCAGTGGAGGCATTATAATGTGACAGTCATTCCCATTATTCGTTGTTGAAGAATAGCCTAAAAATTAACGTTGGGTGCTGCCGGCCAGTTGCCTATCCTTTAGTCGGCGGGAAAAATTAGGGACGGCGGAAGAAAACTTAATAGCTTTGCCATAAACAAAACAAAATGTGATGTAAGAAAAAAATCCCTAGGTTGCAGTATGTAAAAAGCCAGCTGCATGTAAACAAGTAAAGAATTCAAATAGAGGAAGTAAGTGTAAGGATAGCTAATATCAATATTTCAGAAAGAATGCAAACACGATAGTAGGGATGGTAGTTGCATCATCCCTACGTAATAGCACAGGCACACAGCGTAGTAGAATGCTAACAGACAAATATAGGATAAATTAAACTCAGTTGTGATTGAATAATTATATATGTTGCTATATGTTAATTACTGCTTGTGCTATTATCTAGGGATGATGCAAATGCCGTTCCTACTATCTTGTTTTCATGGTTTTTGAAGGATTGATATTAGCCATCCCTACATTTACTTCCTTTATTTGAAAAGTTTTTCTTTGCTCATTTGCTTGTTGTTGTTTTTAATGTAGTGTTTCAATAGACATAGGAAGGTTGTATTTATAACCAAGTTCTAAATGTAATGAGGTTCCAATTGTAACATTTAATATTTATCTATTATTGGATAGTAAATCCTGTTTCACCCTGTACCTACGCTTTTTAAAGAAACACCAAATATCTGTAAAAAAGCTGACTTCAAGGGGTAATGATAACATCGTTTACACTATAATTATGATTTTTAAAAAAATACTACTAGTTATTAATAATACTTATAAAAGTGGATACTCCATTTGAAACTATGTCACTTTATTGAAATTGGCTGACACCGTTGTTTCGGTTTTTGAGTTATCATGTAATATAAAAGAAGCAGAAGAAAGAAGAACAAGAAATTCAAACTTTTTACTATAATACTTATAGACATTTCCAAAACTTCTGACTCAGTCATTACACAGATAGTGTTATAAAAAGAAAGACTATATAATATTGTAAAGTTCTGATGACCTATTAAAGAAATATTCAAAATACCATTTCGATGGCCAACCGGAACCATTTCTACATTGGCAGTACTACCACGTGCCTGATATATAAATTAGTGTTTGGTTTTTAGAAGTTTCGTCCAAAGCTACATAAGGACAATCTGTGCATAGCCATCCCTAAGTTTGGATTGTTAGACAAGAGAGAAGACAACTAGTCAACAACATTCTCCTCCAGTTTTTGGGGATTCTTTTGTCTGACCGAATAGTGGGATTTGACTGTTAGTTTTATGGTGAGCCCACGGCACCAAACTTCGGAGCCCAGTTTTGCGGCAATGGGATACAAACAATAAATCTTCAGATTCATAGTTTGAGCATGCTGCACTAGGCCACATCTGGGCTGAATACATCATTTATATGAGCGTTGTGTCCTCCTAGAAATAGCCGCTCCCTCTCCTAAGATAAAATAGTTATTCAAAACATTGAAATGAAAACAATGTTGTACTATTAATTGAATATACATAAGCATATGTAAGTGAATGCTTATCCTTTAGAACCGTTTTCAGTAGCAGAGAGAAATGCTAGCGTTAACCTTTCAAACTATTTGTGGTGGGAGGTCATAATAAGAATAGCAGTGCTGGCCACTAGAACGAAAAGCGTGGTGAAAGGTCAAATGATACCAAAGGCAGTGTTGACCAGCAGAATTACTTAGTGTATAGACAAGTAATAGGGAAAAATGCAGTATTACTCACTAGAACCATAACAGTAAAAATATGAGTCGATGTTCCCCACCAGAACCACTAGGCAGTGTTGACCAGCAGGATTACTTAGTGTATAGACAAGTAATAGGAAAAAATCAGTATTACCCACTAGAACCATAACAGTAAAAATATGAGTCGATGTTCCCCACCAGAACCACTAGGCAGTGTTGACCAGCAGGATTACTTAGTGTATAGACAAGTAATAGGGAAAAAATCAGTATTACCCACTAGAACCATAACAGTAAAAATATGAGTCGATGTTCCCCACCAGAACCACTAGGTGGGTAGGACGAAATATTAAAAGCCATTGTTATTCGTGAGAGAGAGACTTAATCACTAGAACCACTAGCGCGGTGGGAAGCAATAATATAAGTCAGTTTTGACCACCATAACCACTGATATGATGAGAAGTAATAATATGAGAACCCTAGCGTGTTGATAATTAATAAGCCACCATTAACCACCAGAACCACGAACGCAGTGAGACGAAATATTAAAAGCCATTGTTTTTTATATGAGAAACTTGTTTGGGGTGAAGTAATGATAAGATCAGTGTTTTCCATAGAACTAATAGTGTGGTTGAAATAATGTCAGTGTTTTCCATAGAACTTATAGCGTGGTTGAAATAACAAGATCAATGTTTTTCACCGAACTAGTAGCATTGTTGAAATGATAAGATCAATGTTTTTCACAGAACTAGTAGCATGGTTGAAATGATAAGATCAGTTTTTTTTCCATAGAACTTGTAACATGATTGAAATAATAAGATCAGCGTTTTCCATAGAACTTGTAGCGTGGTTGAAATAATAAGATCATCGTTTTCCATAAAACTTGTAACGTGGTTGAAATGATGTGTCAGTGTTGGCTAGGAGAAGCGCCAGCGTGGTGGAAAGGAATAACATGAGCCATTTAGAAATCCTATTACTTTAAGTTCATCATGAAGAACCACCCATTATTGATGTTTCATGTCATCTGATTTGGAAGTCCACATTTGATTTTATATTAAACTATACAGTGAAGTTGGAAAATTGCTAGACTGTAGTCAACATTGAATTTTGGGTACATATTCAAGCAAAAACAGAGAGAAGGAGAATTAAAACAAACATATTTGTATTTATGGTGATTTCTATCCTTGATTATGCCAAAGGCATTCATATTATTGTTTGTTTTGAATTTCGCGCAAAGCTACACGACGGCTATCTGCGCTAGCCGTCCCTAATTTAGCAGTGTAAGACTAGAGGGAAGTCAGCTAGTCATCACCACCCACCGCCAACTCTTGGGCTACTCTTTTACCAACGAATAGTGGGATTGACCGTCACATTATAACGCCCCACGGCTGAAAGGGCGAGTATGTTTGGTATGACAGGGATTCGAACCCGCGACCCGGAGATTGCGGG